TCGAACACACAGTCCGGGTCAGACGCGCAGGTATAAATTTACTGGCAGGTGGTTTGAAACACCGACAAGAAGAGTGTGAAAAAAGAAGAGAATTTAAAGCTTGCCAAATTTCCATGGTCTAGAGCAGCCAATAATCACAAGTAATTAATTACTACCGCGGTTCTGTCCTCAGTTTTAGTAAAAAATCAAAGCACTCCTAGTAATAATTCCTAAACCGGAAACGGCTCACTGTCGCTGCCAAAGAAAACAACTTCCTTCCCCCGCTAATAAACAGTCAGCGGCACACTTATCGCCAAGCGAGGCAGCGGCTGTCCCAAGCTGTCGAAAGCAAAGCGCGGCGGCAGTCCTCGCAGGCAGGGGCCGACCGGTCAAAAGCACTGCTGCTCCACCCCACCATCCCATTCCCCAACCCCCAAAGCCGAGCGAGCGAGCGAACCACCCCGCCCGCAGCCGCAAGCAAGCAAGCAGGAGCCGCCTCCTCCTCGGCCTTCTCGGCGTCGTGTGACCGGCCGACCGACCGTTCCGTCCAACCCACCATGGAGGCGCCGCCGGGACCGGAGCCCATGGAGCTCGACGCGCCCCCTCCCGCCGCCGCTGAAGCCGCGGCGGCGGTTCCCCCCGCCGGCAGCGAAAAGGTGAGCTGGTTGTGCCCAGATCTGGGGCTGGGCTCGGATCTGCGGCGGTGGTCGCGGCTGGGCGCCGCCCGATCTGCTGCCTCTGCGGGTGATGTTTCTAATGGTGCTCTGTTTTTTTCCCCTTTCCGTGTTTGTCGCAGAAGAAGGAAGGGGAAGGGGGAGACGCTGTTACGGGTCATATCATCTCCACCACCATCGGTGGGAAGAACGGCGAACCGAAGCGGGTAAGCCACGCTTCTCTCGCTGTCTGTCTGGCGCGCGGATGTGTGCGTGAATGCTGCTGCGGTTAGTGCGGTTGAAGTGGTTCCGCTTGTTTTGTAGCGGCTTTTGCGGTCGGAATCCGTCTTGATCTGATGGTTTGCGCATGGGTTCGTGTTCTGTCTCTCTTGCTTAGCTGCTAGACAGCTAGAGCTAGCATGCTGGTGAAATTTGGTGGATTAGTTCTGATTTTGTTGATGAATTATGCTGTTCCCGCTACTTTCGGGATTCTGGCTGGGCAGATAAAATTGCTCTTCCTTGGATTAGTGCTTGCAGCTTAATTATGTGGCTGACTGCTTCATTTTGGGTTCTGGTACTGGGGTTTTGAAGGCTAGCACGCATTTAGGAAGCATGGTCTACCAGTTTTGTGCTTAGTTCTGTTGTGAGCAGAATAGAAATGCTCTACCTATTAGTTTAGTTACACGTGTGAGGATCTGAATTCCTGCCTGCTCGGTTACTCTGATGCCTGCCTACTTTTGTTAGCCTTATGTTGTCCTCAGTTATTCATGTGTTGTTCTTGTTCTGGCCTTAATTGCAGACCATCAGTTACATGGCAGAACGTGTTGTGGGTACAGGCTCATTTGGGATCGTCTTCCAGGTATGGTGCTTGGTCATGGGGGCGCTCTTCTTTGTGGCTGCGCCTAACATTGGTTGATGCAACATGTGCTGAATTCATTTTGACATGTAGGCTAAGTGTTTGGAGACCGGAGAGACCTTCGCCATCAAAAAGGTGCTGCAAGATCGGCGATACAAGAACCGGGAGCTGCAACTTATGCGTGCCATGGAGCACCCCAACGTCATCTGCCTGAAGCACTGCTTCTTCTCGACATCCAGCAGGGATGAACTGTTTTTAAACCTGGTCATGGAATTTGTCCCCGAGACTCTATACCGCGTCCTGAAGCACTACAGCAACGCGAACCAGAGGATGCCTCTTATCTACGTCAAGCTGTACATGTATCAGGTTTGTGAACCGGCATCTTAACACTTGTGAGGCTGCCAATGGGTGCTTTCATTCCTTTGCTAATGGTCTTTATTTTGTGATGTTTGCAGCTTTTTAGAGGCCTAGCTTATATTCATAATGTACCAGGAGTCTGCCATAGGGATGTAAAGCCACAAAATGTTTTGGTACGTGTCATGTGAACCAGGTCATGTTCTTTCTTTGATTTGGTAACTAGTTCTGAATTGGTCTCGTCTCTCTTTGATATACAGGTTGATCCTCTCACCCACCAGGTCAAGCTCTGTGACTTTGGTAGCGCAAAAGTGCTGGTATGTTGATTTTCCTTCCATGAGGATCTGTAGTCACATCCAGTTGTTGTATGCTTTCTTTTTTGAAATATTTTTATCAAAGGCTACCATGCTGTTGACATGGCATTAGCGGTTTGTGTCACTATGTAACATGTATCATCAATATGCTGCTTTTGCCTGTTATGATTGATGGTGATTGTAGTTGGTTGATCCTCTGGAACAAAACATATCTTGAAGGTAGCTTAAATATAGATGCGTGCCTTGTGGATATATTTCTCAGTGAACTCTTGATATAAAAACTGTCCAGTTACATAGTGTTTGTCTAGATATCTTGTGAATCAACGTTGGCTACATTTAAGTCAAGCTTCTCAAATTTGTTTCATTATGTGCAGTTACCTTTATCCTATTTGAGCTATGAGTTATTCAATTGTTTGTGGAGCTGTGTTAGTCTGTAATAGCATTGGTTCTTTTACTTCTGTGCGAAGTTCCAATCTTGAACTTGACTGTGATTCATGTGTTATAATAATTGGATTCTTTACTTGTATACTATAATTTTTTATCCAAATATTAATCAGTTCCTTATGTTACTTTGTCAGGTTCCTGGTGAACCGAACATATCTTACATATGCTCTCGTTATTATCGTGCCCCTGAGCTCATATTTGGCGCGACGGAGTATACGACTTCAATAGACATATGGTCAGCTGGTTGTGTTCTAGCTGAGTTGCTTCTTGGTCAGGTTGGTAGCCTTCATATAATGATTAACCTAATATTTTTGTACCTCAATTTGATTAAATCATGTATGGTGTGATTCTAACCTCTTGGATCTTGTATATGTATCAGCCACTGTTTCCGGGAGAGAGCGCTGTTGATCAGTTGGTAGAGATTATCAAGGTACTGCAATTTTTTTTAAAGTAGACATTCTATTCTTCTGCCATGGTGTTTCGTATAGTCATGTGATATGTCTGTAGGTTCTTGGTACTCCAACTCGAGAGGAGATACGATGCATGAATCCCAACTATACTGAGTTCAGGTTTCCTCAGATAAAGGCTCATCCGTGGCACAAGGTACTCATTTGTTAAATCATGTTTCTGTTCACATCTATGATTCCATTTTACCTGTAGGTACTGTAGTTGTATACATGTAGTCCCCAGTCCAACATGTTTTTGAATGGCGCTTAAAGAACTTGTTTGTAGATCATATCGAAAATTTGAGTTTAGAATGCATGTACTAACTGATCCCTCTACTTCCCGTTTTATCTGCCAGATTTTCCACAAGAGAATGCCTCCTGAAGCTATAGACCTTGCTTCCCGTCTCCTTCAGTATTCACCAAGTCTTCGCTGCTCTGCTGTGAGTATTTCTTTTACTCTGTTTATTAAGAGTTGGCTTTGATGCTAATAGTTTGAGGGTAATAGACATTGGAATGAGACATCAGACTAAGGTGGTTGTGTTGCATATGCTCAATTTTACTTGACTGCTTATTCGAAAGGTTCCATTGTTGTCAATTATTCGACCATGACCAATTAAAAGTTGTTAAGTCCATGTGGAAGTATGTCCTCTCAAACCTTAGCTTATGGTCCTGCATGGATATGATAATTATGTTGCCCAGTGGTCCAGAAGGCTAGAACCAAGAGTTTTGATGGATGTTAGCTGATGCAGAGTGGCTGCAACTTTATAGTCACATGTGCTTGTTAGGTGTACTAGCTAGTGGCCCACCTAAAAAGAGTAGTGACAGTCCTCATGATGTAGGTGGCACACAACATAATCTTTAATGTATCAGTTTGTTGGTTAGAAATGTTCTTATGCGTTTCATGTATTCTATGCAGCTTGATGCATGTGCTCATCCCTTCTTTGATGAGCTGCGGGCGCCGAATGCGCGCCTACCAAATGGCCGTCCATTCCCTCTGCTCTTTAACTTCAAACATGAAGTAAGTAAATTAAACACAGTGCAAAGTTCAAATAGCTAGTTTAGCCACATGCTTCAGTTCAATCATTGAACACCTGAAAGCATCCACTTTGCTCTTGCTCTACTGTTTTGCTCATCAGTTTCCCCTTTTCTGCTCTGCAGCTAGCAAATGCATCTCCGGACCTCATCAACAGGCTTGTACCGGAGCACATTAGACGGCAGAATGGTGTCAACTTCGGGCATATCGGGAGCTAGGAGGGCAGGCGCTGCGATGGTCAAGTTTTTGGTCTTGGTTCCCCCATGTGCAGGGCCGATGCAAGCGAAGGTGATATTGCACCATCTGGAGAGGAGAGGGGCTCAGCAGTACCTGAGAGAAGTATGTAAATTATCTGACCGTTAAGGAGTACCGCCAGTGTTAAGCCAGTAACTGGCACATGTTGGTCCAGTAGTTAAGGGTAAGAATGTAGGAGGTGGAGACTGGTTAATGCTTAGGGTTGTTTTTGGTTATTGCCATTTTGTAATGTTCGTTGGTACTTCCCAGCAGTAGTGTAGCTGCTCCTGTTTTGTTCGTCCGCCATGATGTAAATGATCATCACCCAACTGCAATGTCTGTTCTCTCTGATCGTTTCGTGGTCCTGATGCTTGCTGTGATGGAGCTCTGAGTCTGAGGCAGTAAAGTCGGAAGAACTTACAGCCAGAATTGCTGCTGGTGAAACTATGGCGAAGTTGTATTCAAATTTTGCATTCCAACAAACAGCCAATACAAATGCATCTGCCTATTCTATTGGTTGGAAATTGGAAGTAGTCTGATCAGTGGTTCAATCGCAAATGTTCATTCCCAACTCCCAAGGCCAGAAATACTTTCGGATTGTAGTGTACACGAACAATTCCTTCAAATCGTAGTTTGCTTTTGGTTTTACATAGAGATGATCAAAATTTACAAGCAGACAACTGCGTCTTATAGACGCGGCCGCGCCGGCGCCTCGCCGCCGTAGTCCTTGACCTTGCTCCAGCTCCACAGCACCGGCCAGGTGGCCTTCCGGATGTTGGCCAGGTTCTCCCCGTCCCAGCCTCTGCCCGCGAGCTCCTCAGCCATGGCGACCGCCGCGGCCACGACGTCCTCCACGCCGCCGTCCACGGCAGCATCCACAATGCCTCGACGCACGGCCTCTGCGGCTGTCATCTTATCCCCTATCATCACCAGGTCCCTCCTAGCGACCGCGTCCGGGACCTTCTGCCGGAGCACCTCGCCAACGAAGTCGATCTTGATCCCCGCGTCGACCTCGCTCATGTAGAGGAACCCGCGGGAGGCGCGCATGACGACGGCGTCGTGCGCCAGCGCGAGCGCGCAGCCGGCGCCCGCGGCGTGGCCCGTGACGGCGGCGACAGTGGGCATGGGGAGCGCGAGGAGGTCGGCAACGAGACCGCGGAGCGCGGCGCGATATGCGAGTTGGCGGTCCGCCGGAGCAGTCCCGGCGCGCGCCCATGCCAGGTCGCCGCCGTTGCTGAAGAACTTGCCCTCGGCGGCCAGGACGAGCGCGCTGGCGCCACCCGGGAAGGCCCGGACTGCGGCGACCGCGGCGCGGATGGCAGACAGTAGAGCCGAGTTGAGGCGGTGCTCGCCCTCGCCGGTGAGGGTGATGAGGTATACCCGGCCGCGCTTCTCGACGGCGCATATGTTTTCGGTGGCCATGTTTTTCTTTGAGCATAATTGGAGGCTGCCACCATTTGCTAGCTAGTTGTGACCACACATTAGTAGCAGCACACTTTATTGTTTACAGTGATTATTTGTAGTGTTCAATCAACAACAATTCCTCAAATTTAAACCAAGTTTATAGAAAAATACCGACATCTATACAAAAAATTAATTACACTAAATTATTCATTCATAAATGTCAATATGTTTCTAAAAACTTGGCCAACATTTTGAATCCGCTCGATATTCATGCTGATGGTACACAAGGACTACCACGAGCACAACTTGTGTGATCGAGGAAGAAAAGAAGTTCTGCCTAGCTGCGACTTGCAACATATGCCAGTTTCGCAGGCTCCAGCTTTTCTCTGAAGCAACCTTTTTTTTTAAAAAAAAGGTAGATTGGGAGTAATTTAGAAAATATTTAGGAAAAACAGTTTTAATGATAGTTTTATAATAATTTATGTTAAGTGTATAAGAAGATGTTGAAAGAAGTCATGTTTTCGTGGCTCTAGCTCCTCGGTTCAAACACATTTAGGGCGCGTTTGGCCGGGCTCCCCCCGGCTCTGGCTCCCACACTGTAGCGCAATTGTAGCGCGCAGGAGCTGGAGCTGGAGGAGCCAAAAAAACGAGCTTCTATGACTCCTGCGCTGTCATTTTTAGAGATAGGAAAGGAGGAGAGAGAGAAACGGCTCGTTGAACAGTGTCGCTACAGGAGATGAACAGGGGAGGAGTCGGAGGAGCCGGAGCCGGAGGAGCCCGGCCAAACACGCCCTTAGAGCTCTACTAGGAGCTATTTTTTAGATGGTCGTTTGGCACGTCTATGCGGGTAAGTGGTAAAAGTTGAAGGAAGCCGGAGTGAGAGCCAAAGATGCCCTATAATTGTTATAGTTGGGATACAAGGCATTTGGAATGTGATAATGAAGCGACTGAGTCATACGACGAGTAGATTTCTAATATAATATATTTTCAATTGTTCTAAGTCAATTAATTTTAAGTTTAGTTATGTTTTTGAGAAAAGATATTTTTTGAGACGTTTTGAGAAAAGATATTAATGTATATGTTATCAACTCGTCTTAAATTTGACTAAGTTATAGAAAAAATATTAAAAATCTACCACATCAAAGAGTATATTTCATAATATATCCAATAAAACATATTTGGGATAGTAAATATTATTGTTTTTGTATCAAACTTTATCATCAAATTATGTTCCGTGACGAGAGAGGAGGTGGTATAGTCTACTACATTTCTAAAAAAAAGTAATTTTGGTTTGGATTGAGTCACACTTCCTTAATTTGACTAAGTATATAGGTATTTATGCCAAATAGATATAGTACTATAAAAATATATTCAATAATGAAAATGAATATATATTATTTATTCGTAATTATTAGTGTAGTATTTTTTAGATTTAGTTGAACTCAAAATGCTGATGTATTTTGTTAGGCATAATTGTTTTAGAGTTAGTATACCCAACAACCATGTGTTTTATGCAGTTTCAACACATGATTTTTTTTTACCATAGAATTAAGATCCAACAGCTTTCATCCTCCTTCTGTCTCCAGCCTTCTTCTATTTTCAGTATTCTTCTACCTCAAGACAATCACAAATCATAAGTTCACATATCCACGTATCACGAAGAACATTTTTTTATGGATAAAAAGACAAATCGGGTCCGATACAGTCGGCAGGCCACTGCTCTCTGACTCGTACGCTCGTCACCCCGCTGTTCGGAGCGTCACCAAGCGCGACCACCGCCAGCCTGTTCGGTTGGCTACTTCGTTTCGTTGTTGGTTTGTGAAAAAATACTGTTAAATGATTTGTGTGAAAAAAAATATTGTTTCGGCTAGAAATTTACGATTGTTTACGATAAGCCATATCCAAACGAACAGGCTGCGCAACGAGGTGTTGGCTGCTATGGACGCCGTCGCAAAAACGAAAAGCAGCTACTACTATTAAACTACTGAGCTCAACAGAGAAGGAGAGGGAAAAAAATTCTATCTGTTTTTTGACGCTAAAACATATGTATTGTATAGTATTTCTTATTTTACCCGCCCACCCAAGAAAGGCCCCACGGTCATTCGCTGTGCAGTGTCCTGTCCTCTTGTCCCTTCCCTTCCCTTGCTCTCTAGTCGGAATGAGATCATCTGCAGTTGGCCAGAGAACTTCCCTCTACGGTTGCTGGAAATCTGGCCGCCCATTCGCATCTAACGGTGACCAAAGCATATACAGATGCCCCCCTCAGCTCGCGCACTCCACAGGCTCTCAGTCTCACGAGCGCGCGCGTCCGCGTCCACCATGGCGTCGTCCAAGCCTTCGTTCCCCTTCCCCGTCCTGGCCCCCGACCCGTCCGACGAGGTCGTGCGCGAGTTCGGCCCGCTGCTCCGGATCTACAAGAGCGGCCGCATCGAGCGGCCCCTGGTGGCCCCGCCCGTGGATCCCAGCCACGACGCCGCCACGGGCGTCCAGTCCAAGGACGTCCACCTCGGCTCCTACTCAGTCCGCCTCTACCTGCCCCCGTGGCCGCTGACGGCGCCAAGGCCAAGCTGCCCGTCGTCGTGTACGTCCACGGCGACGGCTTCGTGGCCGAGTCCGCCGCGTCGCCCAGCTACCACCTCTTCCTCAACAGGCTGGCCGCCGCCGTCCCCGCGCTCGTCGTGTCCGTCGACTACCGCCTGGCGCCCGAGCACCCGCTCCCCGCGGGGTACGAGGACTGCCTCGCCACGCTCAAGTGGGCGCTCTCCGCCGCTGACCCCTGGGTCGCCGCCCACGGGGACCTCGCCCGCGTCTTCGTCGCCGGGGACAGCGCCGGCGGCAACATCTGCCACCACCTCACCATCCACCCGGACATCGTCGTCGGCGTCCAGCAGGAGTCCCGCCCGCCGCCGCCGCCGCTCAAGGGCGCCGTGCTCATCCACCCCACCGTGGTGGCAGATGTTGGGCGCCGTGCTCATCCACGAGGCCGTGGGCGAGGAGCCCGCGGACCCCACCGTGCGCTCCATGGGCGTGGGGCTCTGGTTCCTCGCGTGCCCCAAGACCAGCGGTATGGACGACCCGCGGATGAACCCCATGGCGCCCGCAGCGCCGAGGCTCCACACGCTGGCGTGCGACCGCGTCATGGTGTGCGCCGCGGAGGGCGACTTCCTCAGGTGGCGCGGCCGCGCGTACGCCGAGGCGGTGGCCGCGGCGGCCTCGGGGACGGGGACGCCGGCGCCGGCGCCGGCGTCGAGCTGTTGGAGACCATGGCGGACGCGGACGACGCCATGGCGGACATGGACGCGTGCGCGCTCGTGAGACTGAGAGCCTGTGGAGTGCGCGAGCTGAGGGGGGAATCTGTATATACTTTGGTCACCGTTAGATGGGAATGGGCGGCCAGATTTCCAGAACCGTAGAGAGAAGTTCTCTTGCCAACTGCAGGGGATCTCATTCCCTCCAGTCTTGCTCCTGTTTTATCTACGAGTCGCTCTTGACTTTTTATCTGAAGACTGAAGTCCGAGTCCCAACAATCCTGTAATCGGCATCTCTCAACTCACGTCCTGTCGATCTCCCCCAAATCTAGCAAAATCCTGATCATGGTCCCGATCGCGCTACGAACACTTGCCCGATTGGAGGTGGGGGGAGCTTCCAGAGCAATAGATCAAGAGCTCTGCAGTGACTCGCCTTAGCAGTATCTGCGTTGTTCGGTGCAGAGATTGGTACTGTCGACCGGTCACGAGCTCACCATTTTCACCCCAAATTCATGGCCATCCGCATTGGGCGCAGCCGTACGGAAAGTGAAGTAGTGATTGACGGATTCATCTGAGCAAGCAGCAAATAAGCTGAGGTGCCAATCACTACGAGCAAGCGGACTGTGAAATGTGATTGATCCGCAAATGGGAGCCGGGAGATGACGAGCTTGAGAGCTGAGACCCCCAGCAGAACAGAAGCTTTCGGAATGGAATTGGTCGAAACAACAACAGCAGAAGATCTTGGTGGCATTAACACTCTTAACAATCGCTTGAGCAGTTCGCATCGTTGTTTGATTTTGGTTTTCACACAGAAATGATAGAAATTCGGGAGCAGACAGCAGCGGCTTATAGACGCGGCCTCGCCGGTGACAGGCCGCCGCAGTCGTTGACCTTGCTCCACAGCCCCGGCCAGGTAGCCTTCCTGATGCCGGCCAGGTTCTCCCCGTCCCAGCCTCTGCCTGCGAGCTCCTCAGCCATGGCGACCGCCGCGGCCACGACGTCTTCCACGCCACCATCCACGGCCGCATCCACGATGCCTCGGCGCACGGCCTCCGCGGCCGTCATCTTGTCCCCCTTCATGACCAGATCCCTCCTGGCGACGGCGTCGGGGACCTTCTGCCGGACCAGCTCGCCGACGAAGCTGGCGATCTTGATGCCCGCGTCGACCTCGCTCATGTAGAGGAACCCGCGGGAGGCGCGCATGACGACGGCGTCGTGCGCCAGCGCGAGCGCGCAGCCGGCGCCCGCGGCTTGGCCAGTGACGGCCGCGACGGTGGGCACGGGGAGCGCCAGGAGATCGGTGACGAGCCCGCGGAGCGCCGCGCGCATCGCGGAGACGCGGTCCCCCGGCGCCGGGGCCGGCCCGGCGCGCGCCCAGGCGAGGTCGTAGCCGTTGCTGAAGAACTTGCCCTCGGCGGCCAGGACGAGCGCGCTGGCGCCGCCAGTGGAGGCGCGGCGGGCGGCGGCGACCGCGGAGCGTATCTCGGAGAGCAGGGCGGGGCTGAGGCGGTGCTCCCCCGTGCCGGTGAGGGTGATGACGTGCACCCGGCCGCGCTTCTCCACGGCGCACAGGTTTCCCCCGGTGGCCATGCCTTCCATCATTAGTAAAACTGACACTGAGTTTGGGGATTCCTCACTGTTTCTAATCTAGGCCTTGTTTAGATGATGGTTGAAAATCAGTATTGGATACTGTAGTATTTTCGTTTTATTTGATAATTATTGTCTAATTATGGCCTAACTAAGCTCAAAAGATTCGTCTCTTAATTTACAATCAAACTGTGTAATTAGTTATTTTTTTATCTATATTTAATACTTCATACATATGTCAAAGAATTAATATGATGAAAAGAGAAAAAAAACCTTAGAATCTAAACAAGGCCCTATTTTGATTCTTGTCGTTGAGAAGGACCAAAATGTCCCTGACTCTATCGACCTCCTCTAGTCCTCTGTTCTGTCATCAACACCGAAAACTAGTTTTTCTTTCCTTTTCATTCACAAACGTGATTTAAGCACAGGGAGGGAGGAAGAGGAAGCTCACTGTGTCGTCAACACCGAACACTACGTTTTTTTTACAACGGTAATGCTACAAACAAGACAGGTAATGCCAGCGACTCCATTCGGCCAGACGCATGGCGTGATGTGCAACACAACTTTACTTTTTTTTTATTCCCTGCTCATTTACATGACCCTTGTTCTCATCCGGACGTTGTGCCTCACCCCGCTCGCCGCTGCGGCGCTCTCCACTTCTTCTCCCACCGCACCCCTGTAACACCCCAGGTGTTTGCCACTAGTTAAGCAATGGGGTTGAGCTAAAACATGGTATATTAAGTGATGATGAAGATGTCAAGGTCAAACCTATAGAAACGAGCCCCAACCTAAACTTGGATATGGCACCTGTGCTCGCCTATAGACCCCTTTTCAAGATATATGCTTGGGTGGTGTGATTGAGATATCTTCATATGTCTCACATCAATACCCATCTATATTGGGCACTCGAAAAGTTTCATGAAGTTTGGAATCAAGAAGTCACATGAAATGACAAGTTATGTCCTTGCTTGGATCGTTTTATAAAGTGAATGGAATTCTAGATTGTTCACCAAACCTTGCAACCTTGCCCAAATGACTCTAGATGAACTCTACAACAAAAAGTCATGAAGGGTTCATGTTGAGAAAATACCAAGAAAATGCTCCAATGGATCAAAAGGATAATTTAAGTATCATCGTGATCCTACATTGGTCAAAGTAGAACAGTAGGTTCTATACCATTTTGAGGTTGGACCTTAAATAAAAGTTGTAGTACATATCATGTAGAACAAACTTTGTTTTTGGACCAAGAGCTAGATCAACTTGGAAATAAGTCAAACAGAGGCTCGAAGTTGGAACCTGCTGCTGATTTCAACACTTAGAATTATTCTAAGTCAGTTTAAGCTAAACAACGACGTTGGCATTCCGCGTTCTCCGAAATTCATTAAGCAACTTGAGTTGGTCCAAAAGAGAAGTTGAAGGTTATACTATGGAGAAGAGCATGCAAAAAGTTGCACTGAGTTTGACCGAGTTTTGACCTCCGAAAGTGAATTTCCGTGACCATTATCAAGGCGGCCGACACTAGCAGTTTGTGGCTTAATTACCCGCTGTTGAAGAGCTCTAATGACCTTGGTCTCTAAATGAAAAATGTAGAGCAGTTCGCGGGCTTCAAACTTCGTTTTGGGCCCAAGGTCTTAATCAGCCCAGAGATGGCCCAATAACAGCGCCCACCGTGCCCACGTTGCTGCCCGCCACCTGTTCGGGAATATGCCTCGTGAACGACGCGTGGCCGCATGCGTGGGCGACCATGCCCGAGCTGCGCCTCTGCTCTCCGCCGCGTGCAAGCGCCTCCTTGTGCTCTGCTCCTCCATAACGCGCGCGCCAGACTCACCACTCCTCCCTGCTCTCACTTGCTCGCCTCCCCACTCGCCCTCACTTCCTCTGCTCTCTCGCCATGCATTGCATGGTTGCCATGGGCCGCCATTGTCGAGCTCATGATCCATCTGCGTTCCCGCTACTCCGCGCCTCTCCACTCTCCCGAGGACTACCAAAGAACCGCGCTTCACCTCCTGCATCTCGTGCTCGTGCTCGCCGTCCAAAACCACGTTGGGAGCACTGCAGATCGCCACCAGCCGCCGCCTCCCGACCACGGTGCACATGGCCGGTCCACCTCAGCACCTCTCTCGGCCATCCGTGACCACCAGTGGGCGCCTGGGACCCCTGGTGCTCCCCGCCCCTCATCCGCCGACAAGCATGGCCTCCCTACTGGCCGGGAGCAGTGAGCTCCGCGGCCTCCCCACTCAAAATCCCATCAGGGACCTCCTACTAGAATTCGACGAAGTTCGTGGTCCTAATCACAAGTCAAGGTGACTCATGTGAATAGTACCGTAAGGACTGGTTTGTAATTATTTTGCAGGAACTTTAGAAATTCATAGTAATTCATAGGAAATTCGTAAAATAGCAAATGAGGACTTTTTGGAATCCTTGTGAAATTGTCTATGCAGTGGATCTATAATATGGCATGTTTTAGTTTAAATATTTTGCGGTAAAAATAGATTTGTGCAGGAAGGTTGTAATGCTAGTTGAATTTGTTATTTTTCATAACTGTAGATCTAGGGCTCCAAATGAAGTGAAATTTTTGTGGCATGCTACTCATGTGATAGTTGATGTGTGGTAAAAATTTCATGAGTATTGGATGAAGTATGAGTGAGTTATTGGTTTATCTTGCTCTCATATGAATTCTTGCTTTAGCAACTTGTCTTTTTCATAGAGGTTGCTATACATATTCAAATGGAGTGAAATTTGTACAGTAGACTATTGAGAGGATATGTGAGCCACTGTAATTTTTGTAGAATTTATTGTATACTTTTTGGTATATGTTCATTAAGTCACCTTGTTATCTAAAATAAATTAAGAAATGCATTAAAAGAATTTATTTGGTCATGGACACTAGGTTTTCTGGTGTTCTTTAGTCATGTGTGAAATGTTGGTAAAGTTGGTTTTGCCCAATTATGCATTTGCAACATAAGTTAATAATTATTTTCTTGCCGATGTGGTTTATGGACAGATCTGGGAACTTGGCAAAGTTCTTCATGATAATGTGCTTTGTTGTGAAACTTGTTTATACAAAAGTTGTAGATAATTCATGTATCTAGCTTCTATTAAAATTTGGTGTCATTTGGCCAAGTAGTTTAAGAGTTATAGCTGTTTAAAGTTGGGTTTCAGGAATGACTGCTTTCTGTCAATTGTAGACCAGTTTCTGTAAATGAGTATATTTGACTTAGTTAACTTGAGAATCATGCTAAGATGATTAAAGATAAATTGTAGAAAATTTCATAAGCTTTCCATAATGTCTTCTTGCAAGTCATTTGGATTTGTGTAACTCCAGTTATAGCTAAATCTTGTAGCTGCTGTTTGCATGTCCAGAAATTGGCAGATTCTAATTATGGTGCTTGCTTGTATATTGTTAAGTGTGACGTATGCCTTGAATGATGACTGAGTTAGAGCACTTGAGATCTGGGGAAACTTGTGTCATGATTGGTGTTGTCGTCTTCTTTGCCATCTTAGCATGATAGATTGTGTGATGTTTAAGTTAAGCTCATAAAGTACTTAAGTGTGTTAGTGTAAACTATGCTTGTCTTGCTTGCTATTTTGTGATGTGTCTCATGGTACTATTCTTCATATTTATGCACTTGCATATTGCATCTCATCTAGGTATGCTAGATGAACCACGTGAAGGACGTGATGTTGGAGCCAAACCCGAAGACAATGTTTGATGGATCTATCCCGAAGATGGAAGGACTAAGCAAGTGTTAGGATCTGAGATGTCACCAGGGTGGTGCAAGCTAACTGAACTGACTTGTGGCGGATCCCAGGCAAGCCCCGGAGCATTATAAGTCTCCTAATTTATAAAAACAATTCTTTCTATATATGAGTTATATATTGTTGCATTAAGTTGTAGGAGTTGATTGAAACCGTTGATGCATTTATTACTATCCTTGCCTCACCAGATACCTTTTTACCCTATTAGGTCAAGATCGAATAATTGCTTAGCCTTGCTTAGACCGGTAGCGATCGGTGATATCCGATCACCTACATTTATAGGTGGTTACTTGGAAGAATTTAGCTATGGAAAGAATGATATCCTGGAATTAACCATGTGTGATGGATAATTGGAGACCGGACGGAAAAGTTGGAGGCAACGAGCGGGGTTACTGGGTGCTTTATTAGTTTTCGTCAGCAATGTCGATTAAGGACCGACCGTTGTTGGCCCTCGAGTCATGTTGAACGATGCCTTACATTTAGCTGGCCGGATAAAGTACCTTCCGACCGCTGGTCGGGAGATTTTTCGGGCGAGTAGATTGCCCGCAGCCACAGACTTGTCTTGGGAGCAGTGTGGTAGGACACGGGCGGATGATAAGACCAAAGTGCAATGGTCGGCCCCGGGTACATGTGGTTCCTGGCAAACTCGAGATACCTGAAAAGTTGACTCGGTGATCAATATCTCACTTTAGCGGGTGAGTGAGGTTTGTGTAAGGAATAAATCACCACCGGGTTAGGAATCGATTCAATCGCCATCGCCTCCCGGATAGTGAGCACTTGACTCGAAATTCTTGCATCGTAGTAATTATTATGGAACAATGATGGTTATCTGGATGGTATGGGATATGCTAAATCTAAATTGGTAATCTGGATGTTATTGGTTAATCAAGTGATTGCTATAAATACAGTGTGCTTACCTAGATGGATAGGTCATAATAAAGATGATGCAAAGTACTTAAAATGGTTTCTTCATGATAGCTTATGCTTTTCATGCAAATAAGTCAGCTAGCCCACTAAAGAAAGCCTTGCATAATCCTTGGTGTCACTTTATTTCCGGTTTCTGACGGGTAAGTCCGGTGAGTACATTCGAGTACTCAGGGTTTATCCCACCTTGTTGCAGGTGAAGTTCTCGACCTGTTGATGATGGTGGCTAACCACCGGTGGGCTCGGTGATTCTATATTTACTTCTCATCTATATGCTTTTATCGGATGATGTCACTTATGCTAGCAATATATTTGGAACT